GTTCGCCACGAAAAGGCAGTGAGCCATGAAGGGACAATTACAGGTACGCTACTCTATTTAAATTGTCTGTCTAATTGCTCTCTTCTTCCTATAGTTCTCTATCCCATATTACAATTTAGAAAGAAAAGAAAAAAGGAAAGTATTGGTTTATTCTACACCATATCTTTGGTACTGGTATTTGGATTTATTGTTATCTGTGGAATTATTTTTAATGTAATGCCTTTTTTGGATGTTGTGCTCACCATTTTCTCTTTTGCTAGTTCTGCTAATCTTCCTGTGGCATGCTGAGAGCTGTTGTCTGCAAGGTGATTTGTTGAATCAAGATTCCGCAGAGAAAAAGTTGGCATCAGAGCATGAGTAATTGGAGTCTCAGCAAGCAGTACAAAAACAGGCACGCCCAGGATCTCTACCCATTTACTAAGCATTCTTGACACACCCAAGAATGGAGAAAATCCCCAAACAAGCCTTCAGACTTTTTAGGCCTAAGGACACACTTTATGATGTTTTTCCCTTTTTTCAAAAATCAAAGGTATATATCTTGTTTTTCATTTTAAGAATTAAGATCTCAATAAACGGGCGGCTGGTTCATATGTGCTAAATAATGGCTTGCTTAACCACCCTTAAATGGCAACATGATAAACCAAAATCAAAGAAACCACATTATGACTTTTAGCGTGTTGTGTGAATCCAAGTACTGTTGTAGTTGTATAGTCAGCAGCATCAGTAGGCGGTTCAAAGCACACAAGATGGCAGTCATGGCATTGCCATCTATACCCTGTCTGTTTTGTATGTACATTGGCATCATACACAGGTACAAAGGCAAGTGGCTTCAATCATGAGACCATGGCCATTATCCTGATTCTTTTGATACATACTCCTCTTCACCCCATAGTGTGCAGTTTTTAAAAGATAGTAAGGACTAATAAGTGAGAATAGTTCTTCCTGTGCACGAATTCACAACTTAGAGCTCAATTCATAAAAGCCAGAGACAAGATAAAACTCAACAGCGTTTTAGATAAAGCACTAAAGCTGATTATTCCTGTGTTTGTGAAGTTGATTTATACTTGTATCTCTTATGCAGTGTTGTCTTCTCTAACCAGCAGTCACTCTCTTTGGTCACAATTAGAACTAATGCATATGACCTACTAACCCTTTTCTGTGGGGATGTTATGGACTGGAGCTGAGGCTTCTGCCTGCATGACAAAGTAGGTGCTGTACCACTGTTATTGTCACTGATATTGAGAACACACTTATCATAATGGCATTACAAATTGGAGAAGACTCATTGCTGTTTATGTTCTATTGTACCCAACTCTGCATGGAATAGTTTCTAGTTCTTTCCAATAATTAAAAAAGTGGTTCTTTCAGAAGTGTCCATGGGGGTGCATCAGCAACATCAAAATGGCAGGTATGACCGGCTGATTGAAGCCCTGTCCTTTTAAAAATGAGTGGCATGCATTGCAGACACATACAAACAGTATAGTTGTGGTGTCATAATTGAAGCCCCATCCCTTTGTACTCACCATTTTGAAACTAGTGGCTGTTACTGCTAATGTTCCTGATAGACATCAACTGATTGGTCCTGTTCTGCAACTTGATGCCCTTAAAATTTGTTGGTCTTCTACTTCCCTAACTGATTGGTTAATTGGACCAATTCCCATAAAAGTCCATGCTTGTTAAAGGATGTGGGAGTTAGTTCAACACAGCTGGAAGACACCAAGTTGAATAAAGCTTGTTCTTTTTGTTTTCTGGAACTAGTGTGTCCATCTCTCCAATAGTGTCTTTTATCAGTAGTGGCATTATCCATGAAAGCCATAGACATGCAAACCTCAGTGTGGGAGATAGTATTTATATCTATACTTACACCTATAGGTATATCTGTATCTATACTTAGTTCCTATCCTAAAGGATGTGTGTGATTAAGCTATATAATATGCAGAAAATAGCAGTGTAATGGCTGTGTCCTACCCTCGCCCCCCTTTTATTTGACCATATCTATAGTTCTTTTCTTTGAACACTGCTTATATGGAGTTCTACTAATATATACATTTATTGTGTATATAGGTTTTTATTCCTGGATAACTGAAAGGTGTCCAGGTTATGAATTGCTTTCCTTGAGTATCCTTGTATGAAAACATTACATTCTCTTTTTCCTTTTTTTTTCCTGACTCTTTTGCTACCCATTTCACTAAGTGAAAAGATTTGTTTGGCTAATGGCTTTCTCCGCTGTGTGCAATGAAACAAAATCAAAAGTACACTCTCAAGAGTGTTTTCAAAGTGATTGTAATGTGTATTCTTGAATGTATAATCACAAAGATCTCTTTTTTCACACTGCAGTGAACTAACACAAGTTCATTGTCTAGGCAGTATAATGAATTCTACAGCAGATGGGTGTGTCTGTCTGAAAAGATCCTTGAATCACTCCTTATATCATTATTACTACACCCACAGGAATTTGCATCCCCAGGTAAGGTGTGTTTAAAACGGAGAGTGAAAGACTAGAGCTAAAGAAGCCAGGCAAGGAATTCCAGTTGACCCTTGCCTGAAAGAGGAGGAAAAAGACGGCATAGTGCAGGTATGTTCTATGTAGCACAATGTTAGGAACTGTAAATCATCCCCTCTAGCAAGCATTAGTGGCAAATTCATTCTGAATTTTAGCTGGGAGTTTATTGAGGGACTTCTAGCAGGCTACCGATTCATGGTTATAAGGATTTGGTAACAAAAACTAAACAATTTCATTTGTTTGGAATCATTTATCCTAGAAGACTTGCAGCTTTTGGGGAAGATAAAGGAGATGTTGTTACCCAGAGTGAAACAAATATTTTTAAAAAGCACTAAAAAGTAGGGATTAGAGCACATGCTGGGGGTATAGTTTTCAAAAGCTTCCTGCTTGTTTAGAAAGTTACATTTCAGTGTAATCTGCATGACTTGTTCTTATACCTTGCTTTATAAAATGGTGCTCCAAAGGTAAAAAAATAATCTCTGAATAATCAGATTTTTCAAAATCTGAATAGAAGCTTAGTACTGTTTGCTCCTTGGAAAGGACAGACCAAATCTTGGTTAGTGCTTAGTACTTTGCAGTTGATTAATGCTTTGGGGATGGTGAATACTTTGAAGAAAGTCTTATGTTTGTAAGAAGGTATTTTTTCCAAGAGATTTGAAACAAATGGGCAAGAGGTTAATGGAGAAAAAAATGTTAAGAGATAGAGGGCACATTTGAAAATAATGTTTTGGAATTGGTTTTTGTCTTTGACCAAGAAGACGGAAAGGTTATTATTTTTAATTTTTATGCCTTCAAGTCAGTGTTGACCCCTGGCAACTGTCTGGACTAGACTGTGTGGTTCTGGCCTAGTTTTGCATAGGATGTACATAAAAATAACACTCAGTAAAGCATGTGATTTTTCACTAGGCCATGGATCAGTCAACCGCCAGATTGCATCAAAACGTAATGGAGTGCCCAATTGATATAAGGGATTTATTCCTAGTTTTTTTCCTTATCTTTATCTTGATATCTGCACTGTTAGCAATAAATCATTCCAGGATACATTAGTTCTTATTTAAAAGAGGTATTAATGCAGACCATCTTTATATTGTAATGCAGCACCACAGTTTTTCAGTGAGCAGGCTATCTAATTCATTTCAAAGTAGGCAATGCCTTTGCCCAGTATATATTGTTTTTGCATGCAGAGTAGTCTTCTTTGGTGAAGGTAATGGAAACCATGATGGCTTGGGTAGTTCTGTGCAGAGTGACAGTGCAGGTAGTCCTCACTTAACAACATTTGTTCAGCAACTGTTGGAGATTACGATGATGCTGAAAAAATGGACATACGACCCATGCCCAAAGTTATGGCCATTGCAGTACCGCCCCCCCATGGTCACGTGATCAAAATCTGGGCACTTAGCAGCCTGCCCACACTTATGACCACAGGGGTGCTGCAACACCCCACACCCACCTATCTCCCCCCACCCCCATCTATGCCTTTTGGCCGCCCTGCAATGCTTTCCAAAGGATTGCAAGAATGGGACATGCAATTTGGAGAGGGAATGGGGCATGCGGTTTGGAGAAGGAATGGTGCGAGCAGCTTGGAAAATGGCATAGGAATCTCAGGAAGAAGGCCTAGCATGGCCAGCAGCTGCCTCACATACAATAGGGCCAGGCCAGGCACACCTTGTCAGCAGCAGGAGGAAAATGGTGAAGGTCAGCTGGGTGCAGCAGAGCCTGTGGAGAGCAGGGCAGTGGGGGGCAACTGGGGTTTGCACAATGGTGCTGGGGTGGCTGGCCCCAGTATGGGGCTTGAGATGGCATTTGTCAGTGGCAGCACCAGGGCTGGAGCTGAAGTTGAGGCCTGGGAGCGGTGGCAGCTGGCTGAGACTACTGAAGGCCCCGGGCCTCTACTTCAACCCCAGCCCCGGGGCTGCCACCAAGTGCCACTGTGCAGGGTGGCCAAAAAGGCATAGACGTGGGGGGAGATAGGCAGATGGGGGAGTTGCAGTGCCCCTGCAGTTGTAAGTGCTGCTGGGCTGGGCTGAGGTGGCTGAGGCTTTCCTAGGCATGGCAGCTTTGCACTGCGTGGGTGGGCTGGGCTGGGCTGGGCTGGGGCAGCTGAGGCTTCCAGGGGAGGCTGTGGCTTTGCACTGCACTGCAGCACCCCGCCAACTTGTGTGCAGCCTGCACCAGGCCTCCCAGGCCTTCCCCACCACCCTGCAGCATATGTGCGCTCCTTACCTGGGACCCCGTCTGCTGAATGACCTGTGATTCTCTTTTAACTATGGCAACCAGGAGTGCTGGGATTGTGGTCGCTAAGCAAAATGGTCACGTGATGTCTCACTTTACGACTGCTTCGCTTAGCGATGGAAATTCCACTCCCAATTGTGGTCATTAAGCAAGGACTATCTGTATGCATTTTATCCACTTCATCTGCTTCCTATCATACTAGGCTTTCACTTGCCAATAGAACCAGCCATAGAGTGAGATAATCATGATTTCATTCAGGTCATTCAACAGAAATGGCACTTTCTTGAGTTCTGAATGATATTCTGCTGGCCAAGTCCCAACACCTTATATTAGTGCTGATCTTTTGGGACCTGATGGCAGCATTTGATACATTTGACCAACAGATACTGCTGCCTAGGTTAAGGTCCCTGGCATCACTGGCCAAGCATTTGATTGGTTCAAGTCTTTTATGTCTCCCTGTTCTTTTGCAGTATTGCATGGAGTACAATTTTGTTTCCTCATTATACTCTTTCCTTAAATGCCCTGATTCATGACCAGGGTTCTCAGTGTCACTGTTATGCCAATGATAATTAGGTCTATTAGTATTTATGCAAATTCATGGCCAACCATGATGGAATGCCTCAGTAGTGTTTCATCTTCTATTTTTCATCAGTCCAAGAATATGAACAAAATAGAGTGTATTGTGTTTCCGCCTATTGTCCTTCCCATTTTTATTTTTATTTTTTTGGGTATTTCTCCCCATTTGTCTCTAAGCAGGGCTCCCAGATTGTTCTTCTGCTCACACTTTTGGGGTCTTGACTAATGATCAGCTGCCTTAGCACCTGTTTATTGATCTTACAATGAATTCATAGGATCTGGGGAGCAGGGTTGTCAGAGGAGACTGTGGCTTTATTGGTGTATGCTTTGGCTATTTTCATGCTTAGATTATCTGGTAGTCTCCTGGCAGTTGATCTCTATTCCTCTGTGTTTCCTCTGATCTTAATACAGAACAGCACTGTTTGAATTGTTCTGAATTTTTCACACTACTTCCATGTTTGGTTCCATCATGGGGTCTTCACTGGCTGCCTATTCAAGCAAAAGCCCATTCCAAATTACTGGTGTTTGTGTGGTAAGCCCTCCAGCAACAAACCCCCAGGAATCTGCTTGTATTTTCCCCTGCAACCCTGCTTATTCCTTATGTTCCTCTGGGCACAGTCTTCTTCTATCCCCAATTCCTTAGTCTTGGTCTCCAGGTGGCGGGCCTTTAGGGACCCAATTCTACAACTCTCAGATCAGTCCCTCCTTCCCTTGGTATCTGTGCAAATGCAAGTGCTTTTAAAAGGGATGTAGAGTCTTTTATTTGACCAGCTAGCTATTTTATCTAACTATAATTAAGACTTAGCTTTCATGTTACTTTGTTTTATATATATTATGGATGCATATGTGCTCTTCATAGAGCAAGAGCATACTTTTAACATTTATGGTTGTGTTTGTTTTAGTTATAAATATCGGTTTTACTAGTTGATTATTAAGCTGTAAACTAATTTTGTTGGACAGGATTTTGTAAATATTATATTTTCCTTTTTGATCTGTACCACACCTTGGTAAAGCATATAATAAATTATAATCCTTTCATTGGTCCTTTTTCTCTCTCCTTAGGAATTATGTTATAATTATGCAACAACAACAACATTGCAAAACAGTCCTAAGGAAGGGCTGATAATTTGCCATATCCATGTTATCACCTTTGGCACTAAATTTATGTTTTATATCCATTTAAGGTGACTCTTGAATGTTGTGAAACCCATCATTATGTGGATATTCCTTCTTCTAGGTAAGTGTTTTCTATGTATGCAAGTGAAAAACACCAAATGGAATTGATGAAGCAGACAGGGAAGGGATAAGGAGGTAGATCCAGGCAATAATTAACACCTCTTGTTAATGCTAGTTCACCTCAAGAGGGCTTCTTTGGAACTGCTTATACTGGATAATTATCACCCTATATCCAACTTCCCCTTTATGGAGAACATAGTGGGGTAATATAGTGAACACTGGAAGAAGCGGATTATCTCAAGGTTTGTATAAGTGCCCATATTGTATAAAATAACTGGGCTAACAACAACTGAACAAATAACAAAAGATTAAAAATTTAAAAACCCTTTCAAACCAACAAGTGCCATTACAATCCTATCACAGAGCCATAAATGCCATGCTACTGTCCCCTCCTGACCCAGCACCTGAGGGAAAAGCCAGGTCTTAAGGGCCTTCCAGAAGGTAAGGAGTGTAAGGGTCCTCTGCATCTCAGGAAGAACCTGTTCCACAAGGTGGGTGCAGATATGGAAAAGGCTCACTTCCTAGGTCCCACCAGATGACAATGTTTAAGAGAGGAAACCTGGAGTAAGCCCATCTTATCCAATCTAGTGGGACTGGTAGATGTCCTCAGGAAGCTGTGGTCCCACAGGTTAACCTGGTTGCATGTCATATGTTTTTAGCAATTATGTGTACTCTGTCACAATAAAGGACGTTTTATTAAAGAATAGTTCTAGTTCACAGATCGAAATGATTTCTTTTGTGCTTTCTAGATCTGTGTGTCTTTTGCACTATTTTCTCAAAAGGGCATTTGTTGAATTAATGAAATAATGGTGCATATTGCTATTATCTGTAATAGGAGAAAGCTAGGTCATTTGTTGGATGGGTGAATAATATTTAGCATGTCTTTACTGCTTTTACATCTTTATTAAATTGTTTAACATACATGGCTTTTCTAATCTTTATGACAGTGCTATAAGGTAAAGCCATAGAATTATCCACACATTGCAATTTAGCAAGTTAAGGCTAACAGTAGGAAGCTCCACAGGGTTCTTACTTCTAATCTGATACAGATATAGAATTGTAGTCTGAATGACTTTCTTATGGCTATTTAATAGCTGGTTTATTGCAGAAGTGAAATTCAAAGCAGAATTCCTTAGACAGTCACTTAACAATTATACTTGAGTAGCTATTGTTATTTTGTATTACTTCTTTGAAGCTGCTCAACACAGAAGCTTCACTTGCCACACAAAGTGCAGCTTTTCTATCCCTTTTTCTCTTAATGAACACTATTATTAAAGTCCATTCTGCATTTCTTTCTAGCTTTCCCACACCTCCTGGCTGCACGAAGTACCTGTCTGCATGGGGCCTGCTACCCACCTGTGCATGATCTTCTTATAGGAAGAATCCATCATTTAAAGGCCTCCTCCACCTGTGGACTTACCCAACCTGAAACTTCCTGTACTCCATACGGTGACGTACGTATAGCCCACGTATTGTTATTCATTCAAAAAGGACATATCTTTCATAACTCAGTGGCACCAGCTTTGTGATTGCCATTAAGCAGATCAGAGACTAGGTGTCCGACTATGCAATCACAAAGAATCAAACACAGACAAATACTCACCATATCAGCCTATCTCTACAGATAACTTGTGCTTCTTCCAAGGACATTCCTGTAATCGTTTTGATCTCATTCATCTATTTTATCTATGATTTTCCAATTCTTCTACTATCGTCATATTTGGGTTCATAAATTATTATTTGTCTTGGTTATGCAAACTCAACTGTTGTGGTTTATGACTTCAGCATGTAATGGAGTTTTAGGGAGACTGTGCTTAATCAAACCATAGTTAGCACAATATGTGAACTTTCAGTATGATCTTGGGCACTGAATATATATAATAATTGAGTCAACATGATTGCTGTGGTGAGTTAAGAACATAATTTTTCCCCAACTTCTCTGAATAAGATATTCCCAAAGTCAGCATTTTAAAGTAAAGTTATTATGTCCACTATGTTTTCAAAGCAGGAGATAAATTTGGGAGCCCACCTAAATTCAGTGGGTTTTAATTCCTTGTTTTGGGTATCCCAACAGGTTATTCTCTCTGCCCTCAACAAGGAAGGAAGGAAGGAAGGAAGGAAGGAAGGAAGGAAGGAAGGAAGGAAGGAAGGAAGGAAGGAAGGAAGGAAGGAAGGAAGGAAGGGGTATGAATTTCTGTAAAGGTTTTCCAAATAAACAAGAGGTATCTGGTAGCATGTTTTCAGACTAACAAATAAGTTAGAGCTTATGCTTTTTAATAAAAGTTGTTATTCTGAAAATATGCTACCAGACTGCTCTTGATTTTTGGCTACAATAGACTAACATGACCCTTCCCCTACAAGGACTTTATGGGATCATTATCCTTTTCTTACACATGTTTTAAGAAATGGAAGAACTTCAGGCTGTTCTTCTTGCCCTTCTGTTCCATTTTGAAATTCCAGGTTAAGACATTTCCTGCCTTTAGCAAATTTCAGATTATATCTTTCCCACATACAACACTCTGAGTAAGTGCTGGTGCACCAGAGACCAATTGGGGCGGTCACTGGCAGGTAGCTCTATTCTGTGTATCGGTAAAACCCTAATGTCCAGAGCAACTTTGCGTTGTGTGGGTGTGGAAACCATGTGAAAGAAAAAAGCAGAAGCGGGCACTTCTAAGCACAAAGAAGAATGGTTTAAAACAGGGGGCAGAACCTGTGGCACTCTACCAGCTGCTGAAACATTGCTTCTCTCTGCATTGGCTGCATTGGCTGGGGCTACTTGGAGCTGTAGTTGAAAAACAGAGTAGCAGGGTGAAATCAGGTTAGGATTTGGATAGAAGGTCGCCAGGAAAACCTTGGCCATCAGCAAGGTTGAAAGCAGTGCAAACACCTCCTGCATTTTTGCCAAATGTGCCCAGGACTCAAGCTTGACTGCCAGGAGGCTTAGTATTTTAACTAATACTGCTCCTAAGGTTCACATCTTTTTTTCTGGAAAAAAACCTGTGGCTTTATTATGACACATCAGAAATTATTCTACTGAAAGTAGTATTATCTTTCTGCAGGGAAAAAATGCCCCTGTTGAATCTCTTCATGTGGAATGGCTCTTAAGCCACAAAAGCTCTGTTAGGAAAAAAATAAAAATAAAAATATCCCCTCCACTTCAATTTTATGAGTATCTGTACAGCAGTTTAAAAGTTAAAAAAAATTTTTTTTTCTAAAATCCAGACCTTTGGTGTTTTTAAAGTTCCAGAACATCTGGTTGCCATTCATTTTCCAATAAATAGATGTTAAGTGGGTGTACATGTTCAGGCCTAAGTAGGTAGAGGAGGAAAGTGACCTAGGAACATACTTTGAGTTTGTATAAGTTCCTCTACTATGTGTAGAACATTAAATGAGAATCAGAGTTTTCATAAGTATTTATGAGCCAAGGTTACCTGCATGACCTGTCTCAATATATCTATTTTTATTATCATTGGATCACAGGAGAAGGGGAAATTAATATTGCTATTTCCATTAACACCCCTCCCCTCATCTCTCATTAAATACTAGAGTGAGGAAAGTGAGAAATCCTGCACCTGCACAGCATGGAAATCCATGGAAAGTATGGTATTTGAACAGGCCCTTTCATATTGGCACTCATATGCTGCACTTCCTTTCACCACAAGTAGTTCTGTTTGGAAAAACTGAGAGCCTTAATCTCAGTCTGGTGAAAAATCTACTTATTCGGGAGCCATTTCTTTCTTCTGCACTGTTCCCTATTAACCAAATATTCCTAATGTTGATTGCAATGAAAGGGAACAGGTTCTGATTTGATCGCCATACAAATTTAGTTAGCAGTTGGGCAAACATTGTGGCTGGTAAGGCTATTTCTTTCTAGATCCTAGCTTGTGAGATCTAAACTAAAAACCAATAAAAAAGTGGAAAGTGGGGTCGCAACATGTTTCAAACAAGGTCTAAGTCAAATAAAATTTTGGTGGCGAAGAAGGCATACCTCTAGGGGTCTGTATGCATAGAAATCCTTTCATGAAGCAGAACCTCCATGGCTTTCAAGGAGCATCATTAAAAGAAATCGCTGGTGTGGTATTTAAACTGGCCTTGAGAAAGAATTTTGGGAATAGCATGCATATCAGTACTCCATGTTAACTGTAGCCATACACAACACACTTACAAATTAGACTCCCTGCTTGTCCATAAAGGGATTTCAGAAAGTTGGAAAAGCACTCCTTCCCTTCCTTTTTAATTGCCCTGACCACTAATAAGTAGGTTAAAGGGTGACTGATCTGTGTTACAGTTTCAGTAGCTCATCATTACACCGATATTTACTGCTAAGACTGACTCATAATTTCATGGTATGAGTACTACTGATTAAAGGCTTCATCAGTAGACATTATAAGGTTTTTCCTCCCTTCCTTGAAGCATATTAATTTTAAATGGGCTAGAACCTATTATTCAACATACTGATTTGGACTTCAGAGAATGGTATTTAAAAGGGTTTTTCAAACCAGCTTATGCAGTTCCATTTTAAGAATGCTTCATGTACTAAGGTTTGATAACAATCTGTACTCATAAAAATAAATGTTTACCATAATATTATAAGCCTAGAATTAAATAATTGGTTCAAATCAAAATATAGGAAATTATTTCTCAAGTCTTCATGGGCAAACACATACTGTAGATATTTATTGCTCTTTAGTCTTTATTGTCTTGTTATGATAGTCAAGTCAAAATATCAGTGGGCCAGAAGCTACAAATGGCAGAAGTTTTCTGCTAAGCTTTCTAGTGGGTGGGTGCAGTCCTCATGCCCCAATTTTGTACTGTCCAGGTCTCCAAGAAAGTAAATAAAGAGATTGCACTAAAAAAACCCTCATATGCATTAAGTTAGGCTTTGGTTCAATGCAATCCCAGTAGAAGGGACTTTTGTGTGTGCACATGCATGTTCAGACAATATTTTAATTTTTAAAACAAAAGCAAACACAACCTCCCCACCTAAGAGAAAATGAGCTGAACATTTCTGTCCTGCTTCCTGTGATCATTTGTCATTGTCTTGCCTCTTGGAAAAAAGTGGATCCTACTCACCACTTGCATAGCTTCTCTATCCCTCCTGATGTTTTTGCCTCTCTCTTTTCCTTCACAGCATAGATCATCTTTTGGCTGTCACCTCTGCAAAGTTTCTAAATTCCCCTTTTTTTCTGATTTGTGAACAGTTCCATCATGCCTAGTTTCTTTTCTCTTCCATTCATTGCTTATCTTTCTTTTAAACTCTGTATTTCACTCCAATTTATCCTTTTGTTTGCTTTCCCTTCACTTACCTGCATTGCAGGGTTTCAGGGTTAAACCAGATAAGACAACACAGATCTTTGATTAAATATTGAGCCTCTTTAATTTTTGCAGAAAGGAAATGGAGTGAGGAGAGAACTCTGAAACAGAAATACTGTTGAGTGACTTTTTTCAGGCCAAGCATATTGACAAAATTCTATAGACCACCCAACTTAGAATTTTCTGGCTTTTAAAAAGTACTTTTCTGATTTCACATTTTTAAGAGACAGAAACATATTTTAGGGGGTTTCAAGACTTAGGGGGTATATATTAGGGAAATCTCCCCTAGAGGACCATAGAGGTGAGACATTTTGTTTCTAGCATTGCTTTAAGATTTGTCTGAAAAGCAGAAATGTAGAGGGGAAATGTTCCTTTCCATGTGAAGAAATTAACTTGCTATACCAGAGGTCCCCTTCATGGATCACTGCCTTGTCGTGGCGAAGGGGCTTGCGTAACTCAGTGAAGCCATGAGCTA